ATTTTCCTGCTCTCCACTTCCTCCTACAAAAAAACATTCTTAGGTTATGGTCATTTTCTTTTCTCGACTTTTCCAGTTAATGATGACATCACATGAAAGGACTTGGCTTGAAGTTTCAGAAGTCCTTACCAAGTTCCCAGGGAATCTGCTTTGTTTCGCACAGTGAATTTCCTACACTTTTGGAGGGGAAAAAATCATGCCTTCTCTGATTGTTACAATATTTTGATCTTATTTTTGTTTAAAACCCTTCAGGACTGTGTTAATAGCACTTTCCTTAGCTAAGATTTTGAAGATTAATTAGTGCCCGACAGGAGGAAAATGTACGTCAGAGTATGATATAATAATGATCATACTGATACAGATGGTAACTTGCTATGGTTTCCAAACTTTTTTGATCATTCTCATTAATCTAAAAAACAAAAACTTGGGCAGCCCCCGTGGCGCAGCGGTTTGGCGCCGCCTGCAGCCTGGGGTGTGATCCTGGAGACCCGGGATCGAGTCCCACATCAGGCTCCCTGCATGGAGCCTGCTTCTCCCTCTGCCTGTGTCTCTGCCTCTCTCTCTGTGTGTCTATGAATAAATAAATAAAATCTTTAAAAAAATAAAAATAAACTTAAAATTAATTCATTGTTATATATCAGCTATCTCAATTACACAGATGTTTAGCACTCCCCTGTGGTTTTGTTATTTATAAGTCAGGTGCACGTGCTATTACTGTCTTGTATCTCAAGGTCCAGAATACTTCTTAGAGCTGGATTCATGCTTAGTGGCAGTAGAGGTAAAGCCCTATTTCATATACTCCTTGAATTGTGAATATTTTTGGCCTGTTTCTTGCCAGATCTGATTATATCATCATAGGTTTTACTTTGGGACATGGTTCGTGCAGAACTGAAGATGTGCCTTCCCAGCAGTGGGCCTGTGTTTGCCCGTGCTTATGTTTACTAGAATGACTTTAATTTGTGCTTTTTACATGAATCTTAAAGCTTCTTAGCCTCTGTAAGGTTTAGTCTGGTTATAATTTGTCCGTCCACCTCTCTGTGCACAGTGCCGAGGTCAGAGGAGTTCCTCAGGCACCTCACAGGTTGGGGCCATGTGCCTTTCAACAGAGAGACTTAGCATGCAGGTCAGTTTCTACTTTTATTAGCACTGTTGTTGATATTTTATGGTCGTGTAATAGAATTAGTAAAATGGAAGATGGTATAAGATCCTTAATATGATTAGTTTACATATAATATAGTTTCAAGTTTTTTTATGTAATAGTTATATCACTATGTTTCATGAATACAAATTAACATAACTTCTCAGATTTTCTTCTCTAGCCCTGTGGAGCATCTTCCATTACCCTTTGGGATGCATGTGCCCTGTTGGTGGACTCAATTCTTGTAACCTGACAGCCATAGACAAGGGATAAATGAGTGGGAGTGACTGTGTCCTTATAAAACTTTATTTATGGACCCCCACATTTTAATTGCATGTGCTATTCACGTGTCATGAAATATTCTTTTTATTTTTTTAACCATTAAAAACTGAAAAACTAGGCTTATAGGCAGTGTACAGAAACAGGTGGCTGGCAGGATTCAGCCTTTGGGCTACAGTTTGCCAACTCTTGAACTAGAGGAAAATTCGGGAGTTACTGCCAAAATGTAGTCTTGGCATCCATGTAGGAGGTGGCCTTTCTTCAGAAAATTTCAAGTGCTGGAAAAAGTACAATGGAATTTGGTTCCTCTCATTCATTTTCAGTTGTCCATCTTGCTCTTTGGTATTTTCAGTATGTAATACTAAACATGCACGTGAATTTTTAAAAAATATTCGAGAGAGAGAGAGAGAGAGAGAGAGAGAGAGAGAGAGAGAGAGAGAGAATGAGCAGGGCTGGAGGGCTGGGGGAGGGGCGGAGGGAGTGGGGCAAGCAAGGAACCTGATGTGGAGCTCTGTCCCAGGGCCTGGAGATCATGAGCTGAGCCAAAGGCAGCTGCTTAACTGATTGAGCCACCCAGGCACCCTGTCATGCACACGAATTTTAAAACTTTTTTAAGAAAATTTTTTTGAGGTATAACTGATGTCACGCTAGTTTCAGGAGTACGATGTAGTGATTCAGCAGCCCTAACCCAAGTCAGTATGTATTGCAGAAATGACCACTACAATTAATCCAGTTAATGTCTGTCACCACAGTCACAAAATTCTTTTCTTGTGAGAACTTTTAAGATGTACCCTGTTAGCAACTTTCAAATATGCAGTACGGTATTACTAAGATCACCATAATGTTTAAGTTTTTCCTTTATAAACTGTCAGCTTCCAGGGCTGGGGAAACATGATGTTTGTAATTGGGGGTTGGGGAAGTAAGACGAAATTCTCTGCACTTCCTGGTCAGCTTTTAGAGCAATCTCAGGAGAATGCTGTGGACCTGGTCATTCAACGCTAATGGCTTAGAGCGGGAGTTAAAAAACTTCTGTAAGGGGCCAGATAATAAGTATTTTAACCGGTTCGGTCCTCATAATAACCCTATGAGTGGATTTGGATCAGCTCATCAACGCTGTCTGGAACCAGAGACAGCTGTGGCCCTCAAGGAAGCTGGGGCGGCTGTGTTCACAAAACAGGCTGGCATGGCGTGCTCACCTCTGCTTGGGGACATTCTTGGGGCAGGGCAGAATGTTTTTAAACCCTCAGAAAATTGTTGGTGACCGAATCCTTCATCTGCCCTGAGCGGGGCGTCTCAGGTCTGTTTGGTCAGTGCAGAGGGACTTCTGGGCTTCCTGCTAAGCCTCCTGCAGAGTCTCCGAGATCCAGGTGAGGCCGTTTTGGAGAAGGAAGAAAGGTGGGGCTCTCCCACGGGAGAAGCTGTATGGTTTCCGCATCGGTCACGTTGGGTCTAATGAGCTGTTCTGACTCGATTGCTCTTACATACAGTATCTGCCTATATGATTAAAAACCCCCATGTGGAGGGGCCCCCAGTCCGTAGAGCATGTGACTCTTGATCTCAAGGTTGTAGGTTCAAGCCCCATGTTGGGTATAGAGATTACTTAAAAATAAATTCTTGGGGCACCTGGGTGGCTCATTTGGGTAAGCGTCCTGCTCTTGATTTCAGCTCAGGTCATGATCTCAGGGTGGTGAGATTGAGCCCCACGTCAGGCTCTGCACTGAACGCAGAACCTCCTTAAACTTCTCTAGTTGTCTCCCTCTGCCCATCCTGCCCCTGCTTGAGTGCTCTCTCTTAAATCTTAGAAAAAGAAGAAAAAGACCTATGTGGAAATAAGTAAACAAGAAAAAAAAAAAGTAAATCAAGGGGCCAGTGTATTTGGCAGGTTGCTCATTTTCAGGTGCCTTTCTTAAGTAATTCGAGGTTTTTCTTCTGTTACAAAAAGATTTTTTTTTTCTAAAGATTTTATTTATTTATTCATGTGAGAGAGAGAGCGCGAGCCAGAGACACAGGTCAGAGGGAGAAGCGGGCTCCATGCAGGGAGCCTGACGAGGAACTCGATTCCGGGACTCCAGGATCACGCCCTGGGCCAAAAGCAGGTGCTAAACCACTGAGCCACCCGGGGATCCCCTATAAAAGATCTTTGTCTTACATGCAAACAATAATTTTAACCAGTAGGTTGAATTTTTAAAATGAAGCCAGTAGGAAAGAATGTGCAATTTTTTTCACATTTCCTATTACCAAGAGACATTTAATGCAGAAACACATCACTTTCTTTTTCTCCAGGGAAGCCTGGGGGTTCCACAGAGTTCAGCTGATTTAGGTTAACCATTTTTCAGTGTGTCAGATACAGTCAAGTACGAGACAGAACCCATTCTGAAGCCCCAGTTACAGTGAATATTAATATACCTGATGCAATCGTCTCCCACCCCTGCCGTCACCCCCTCGGCCCAGAGAACTAAGGTTGGGGAAGGAGAGTGTTTGAAGTACCTGACACTTGTCAATGATGGCTCCGAGTTACCACCTTAGCCTTCATCATTTCCTACCTGTATCTGGTCTTCTGTTTTCAGCAGCAGAGGTTTCTACAGTCCTGAAAGTTGCGCCAAAGTTCCCGGCTGCCCTCCCTTGTGCTCACCTCCTTAGTCAAGTGGCCCTGTGTCCCTTAGGAGCCCCAGGCTCTCCTGTCTGTGCCCTCTGGGCAGCTGCATGGCTTCCTGGCCAGCTAAATGTTGGGTCATATCAAGGGGCTTCTGAGACCAGGCTCATGTTGGGCTTCCCAGAACCTCTCTTTTTCATAATGGGGTCCTGGTCTGGGGTGTCTGGTGCCGTGGTGGCAGCGAGGAGTCTGCCTCAGGTGATGGCAGTTACTGCTGCTTCATTGACAGCAGAGTCAATAGCACGAATGCATAAAGCTGGTTCCTTATAAAGTAGAATGATGGTGGAAGGAAGACATTCATCACCTTTTCTTTATGAAATGGGGAAACGACTAGATCTAGAAATGATTTCTTATTCATCTTTCCATCTCTAATAGTCAAATTTATTGAGCAATTACTATGTGCCATGTGTGGTTCTAAGCACCTCTCATATCTTAACTCATTACATCCTCACAATAACCTTGTGAGGACAGTGATGCTCAGATAGGTCCTATGGCTCCTAAGAGGTGGAACCGGAGTCTGACGCTGGACAATGGGTTCTAGAGTTTATTCTTTTAACACTGTCCTGAGTTGCTTGGTGCTAGCACAGCACCTGTCTCAGGATAGTTGGTCAGTACATTCTAATAGGCTCAAGAAAGAGTTTTGAATGATCATCAGAATACTTACCTTGAAGTGGGAATTGAGATTTTTTATTGTTTTCAGGCTTGTAGTATATCCATCCATTGACTTCTATCTGCTGGAATAAAATAAACACTCATACATGGACTCCATCTAGAAGTATATTGTTAGGGAATTAAGTGTAGATGAAGATAGGCTTTCAAAGCCCTAGGTAAAAATATATTTTTTAGTAAAGGGTGCTGACAGAACTGGCTAGCCGTGTCTCTCTCTCTCTCTCTCTCTCTCTCTCTCTCTCTCCTCTCAAACACACACACCAAAACCCAATATTTTTTGGATTTTTTACTCCTTACACCAAAAGGGAACTCCAAGTAGATGGAAGATTTAAATAAATATATGAGGCCATGGGTATGCTGAGAGGAGATATGAGTAAATGTGCTTCTAAACTTAGAGTAGAAATGTCTTTTTAAGTGTAAGCAAAATCGGGATCGCTGGGTGGCTCAGCAGTTTAGCGTCTGCCTTCAGCCCAGGGCATGATCCTGGGGTCCTGGGATCGAGTCCCACGTCAGGCTCCCTGCACGGAGCCTGCTTCTCCCTCTGCCTGTGTCTCTGCCTCTCTCTTTCTCTGTGTTTCTCATGAATAAATAAATAAAATCTTAAAAAAAAAAGTGTAAGCAAAATCCAGACATGATAAAAGATTGATAAGAGTAGGTTGTTTTAAAAACATCACCAACAACCCAAAACTATGGGCAAAAAATTCAAAGAAAAAGTGAAAAAGTTAAAGAACAAATGAAAAATTGAGAACAAAAGATATCCTCGTGAAATACCAAAGATTTAACATACAAAGAGCTCTTACAATTCAACAAGGTGAACACCCAAGTTTAAAAATGGGCAGAAAAGGGATGCCTGGGTGGCTCAGTGGTTGAGTGTCTGCCTTTGGCCCAGGGCTTGGTCCCAGTTCCAGGATCAAGTCCCACATCGGACTCCCTATGGGAAGCCTGGTTCTCCCTCTCTCTGTGTCTGCCTCTCTCTTTCTCTCTCTCATGAATAAATACAATCTTTAAAAAAAAATGGGCAGAAAGTATAAAAACACATTTCACTAAAATGAACCAATGGCCAATAAATGGAAAGATGCTCATTTATGCTAAGAAGTATATTTTTTAAAGTAGGCTCTTTGCCCAATGTGGGGCTCAAACTCATGACCCCAAGATCAAGAGTCACATCCTCTATGGACTGGGCCAGCCGGGCACCCCAAGAAATGTATTTTAAAACATCATTACTGATGAGCTTGCCAAACATCAGAAGTTTTATTTTGGTGTTATTGTGTGAGAAAACAGACATTTCTCTCTACTAGTGGGAGAGTAAATTATTGGAACTGCTTTGGAAGCCAATGGAATAAGATCTATCCAAAAATTTTTAGGTGACTTGAATTTATGAAAGTTGCAAACATAGTAGATCCCTCACCCACCCATCCCTTTGTTTAGTTGTCACGTCTCTGACAGTTTCTCACTCTCCTTGTTTTCCATGATTTTAAATTAACACTTTTTGAATATAGAATGTCCCTCAATATAAGTTCCTCTGAACTTTCCTCCCTGGTGCATCCCATTGGGTGGACTGTGATGTCTGTCCCACTAGTAGTTGTATTCACTTTGATCACCTGGCTAAGGCAGTGTCGTCCAGAGTTTTCTACTCTTTGTGCTTTGTAATTTGCTAAATGTTTTGGAGGCAATAAGCTCTATCAGTTTTAAATACCAATGACCCAGCAGGACCACTTCTTGAAATTTTTTTACAGCTGTCTGTGATTTATTCCATCGCTTGCACAATGGGGGCAATTAGTGCCCCTCAGAACTGCTGAGAGGCTTCAGGGACCGCTGTGTTGGAAACACTTGAGTGCCTCATATAGAGTAAGCTCCTTGCTGGTTCCTCCTCCCTTCCCAAATCCCTGGAAGCCAGAGGTATTTGGAATTCAGAATTTTGTCAGAATTCAGAAGATTATAAGATGCATTCATTATATATTATGTGACAACCCCAGCAGGATCTGCGGAGCACCCTGTACTTGAACACTAATCTTTCTGCAGCAAGACATATGAATATTCACACAAAGGGAGAAAGATAAAGACTTTAAGTAGTTTTGGGTAAGTTCTGATCAGACCTTGATCTGAGTTCAGGTCAGGTTTGGTTGCTATGGGTAAGTTTTTAAAACTCCCTTTGGGCTCTTAGAGCAATTCGGATTTCAGGATTGTGTGTTGGGGATCGCACACCTGGATAGGGGTTTGCAAACCCAGGTGTGGATGTGAAAGGGTGTTCATGGCAGCATTGTTGGAAATAAGCCGAAAGGCCCTCTGTAGGAGGTTAAGTAAACCTTGCACACAGTGGTGCCCATTCAGAACTTTGAAAAGAGCAAACTGTAATGTGCAACCAGGAAAAGTGCGATAAGATGTATGACTAAGTGACTCATGACATTACAGAACAGTGTGAATGATCTTGTTTGGATTTAAAAATATGTACGTCGATGCTTGTATAAATGTCAAGAAACATGCAGAATGATATCTAGGAGAGTGGCTGGATATTAGAATCGCCCGGGAGCACTGAAAACTACCAATACCTGGGCCCTTCTCTACACCCATTGAATTGCAGGTGAAGGATTGGGCTGTGCCTCCGTTCCAGGTGATGCAGGAGTCCGTGAGGGTTGAGAGCAGCTGGAATAGAAGGATGCTGCCGTTAGAGGGGAGACCTCATTTCACGCTTGACTGTGTGGTCTTTCTCCCCATTTGTATTTGTAGTTTTATACATACTTTTTAAAGTTTAAAAAGAGTAAAAAAGACTTTTGTGAGCAAAATCAGATATGGGGGAGTGAAGACACGTTTTCAGCAGGGATATAGAATTTTCTAGAAGTTTAGTATTTCTGAGCATTACCTTCCTTTAATATATATAGTGCTTGCTGATTTCAACTGATATTTGATTTTTAAAGTTTTTTCGCCCTCTTTCATCTGGTGAGGAAGGCACCAGCAGAGGCTGAGGTCAGGTCTGTGCTTCAGAATTCTGGTGGTGCTTTATTTCAGGCAATTCCAGAGATTGCTCATTTATCCCCATGTAGACTCCTGCAGAGGTCTCCTGGTGACACACCTAGATAGGAACACCTGGGGGGAGAGCTGGCCCTGTCAGCTCTTCTCTATTCTTGCTCGCAGGAATTGAACCTGGAAGCTGAGTCCCTGGGATCTTCCCTCCCTGTCCCCTCCCGTGGCCCCCCCCCCCCCACACCTGGCATTGAAGTGTACCTGCTCTCAGAGGTGGCCTTTATTGTGCATGCTGCCCTCCCTCTGATCAGGTCCTGTTCTGTCTGGCTCAGCAAAGCCTTTTGGGAAGGTCGGCTTTCCATGCTCGGTGCACAGTGCTGGTATCCCGGCAGCCCGGTCTCGGGTTGAAGCCCGAGACAAACCTTGTAAGCTGCGTCTGGGATTCTCTGGACAAGGGGCTGCTCTCTGCAGCGGTGTTGCTAAGGTGGCCGCGCTGCGCGCTGAGAGAAGCAGCCATTCTGAGGAGGCCTGGGCCAGCGCCTCTCCTGCAGGCAGCACCGTGAGTGTGTACAGCGTGTGCGTGTGCGGAGTGGAGGGGTCCACAGTGGGCCGTGACTTAGTGGGCATCTACACTCCCGGGTGCTTTCTGGCTTTGCTCAACAAATGCTTTGGGTGTCATTAGTGATTCTGTCCAGGGGCGAAAACCCCTTCCTTGTTAGGTCTCAAATCAAAAAGAGCTCTTCGGGGAACAATGAGAAATGGTTTTTTCCCCCCCTAAGGTGATGTGGAAGCATTTGATATTTGCTGTCTCTGTTCAAACAGGTGATTCACGTCAGCCTGTACTGGAGTGGTAAGTACTACACTCACCCTAACGTTTGACAGCGGAGGAAACTGACGTGCATGAGAGATTGTTACCTGCCCGAGGTCTCGGGCCACAGGTGCTGGGGCTTCAGGACGACGCCCACTCCTGCGAGCCTGTCCTGGGGGGCTGGCCCGCAGCACAGGGCACCCAGCCTGGTGGGCTCAGGCTGTGCTACTTACATGGCTCTCTCCTGCGGGATCGTGTGTCCAGGCAAAGTGCCTTCGTGTCGGCTGTGCCGGCGCACGTGGTCTACTCCAGGCCCAGCGCTGCTGTACAAAGGCTCATGGGCTTGTTCTATTTGGCAGATTCTCAACCAGCCTTTGAGATGATGGGACTGGGAAACGGGCGCAGGAGCATGAAGTCGCCACCCCTTGTGCTGGCTGCCCTGGTGGCCTGCATCATCGTCCTGGGCTTCAACTACTGGATCGCCAGCTCGCGGAGTGTGGATCTGCAGGTGTTTTGCTTGTATTTGCATGGGTGTCAAAGTATTTAAAGTTGCCGGGTGCTGGGGTCAAGGGGTTTGCTGTTTGCCACGCCCTGAGGCATTCCGTCCAGCATGCGTGTACTTCTTATCGTGAGTTTGGGGCTCTAGGTACCCTGCACTCAGCCACGGGCTAGACTCTCCAGGCCAGCTCTGCTCTTGGGTGGGAGAGGACCTCTCTGTGATTTGGGATTGCTACCGGAACAGCCGCCTCTGCTTGTCCTGTGAGTGAATGATTTTTAGTCCAGCTGTGGGGACCGTTTCTGGGAAGACGGCTTGCTTCGGTACACAGACCACAGCCCGTCGGGCCCCCCAGTCCACGCTAGACCTCAAAGAGTGGTATTGGAAATGCATTTGGGTGACAAGTGTGAGAAGTGTGTGCTTAGATGGGCCAGTTGTTAAAATCATCATGTAAGGAAGGGTAACTTTAGCTTTCCCGTTATCACTGCCTATCATGGGTCCGGCAGTGTTGAGCAAGGACAGAGACTATGGTCAGGCAGCTCTGACCCCTCCTCTCCATGAGGCCTCCCTCCTGGCCTCCTGTATCCCGTCTGCAGCCTACCCAGCCACTTAGCAAAGAATCCTGCTAAATCATCCCCTCCCCCAGCATCTGGTCAGGCACCTGCTGCCTCTCCCGTGATGTCTGAGCTCTTCGCCTGCCTTTAGCCAGAAATCCCCCTGCTCTTGAGGTCTCCCCTTGATAGTCTTCCTCCACTGACCGCTCCCTCTGCCATTGGCTGTAAACTCTTAGCTGTCTCGGCTATGTTCGGAGTGGGGCCGGTTCTCTCCCCTACTGCATAGACGTGACCCCTATTGCAGGAGTCTTTTTTTTTTTTTTTTTTTTTTTTACTTATTTATGATAGGCACACAGTTAGAGAGAGAGAGGCAGAGACACAGGCAGAGGGAGAAGCAGGCTTCATACACTGGGAGCCCGACGTGGGATTTGATCCCGGGTCTCCAGGATCGCGCCCTGGGCCAAAGGCAGGCGTTAAACCTCTGCGCCACCCAGGGATCCCCTATTGCAGGAGTCTTGAAGGAAGTTTTCCTTTCTGTTTTAACAAGTATCCAAATAATTTTTCTTCAACAACACATCGTATACACTATCTTCTGTACACAAACCTTGTAGGTTTGGGACTTCATTTTCCCCATTTCCCAGGTAGGCAGATCGAGACACAGAGAACGTACAAGAGGCCTGGGGATTTGAACCCAGTCTTTCTGAGGGCAGAGCTTGGGCTCTGAGCCATGAAGCCCCATTCCGTGTGAGGTCCTCTCAGGCTTACTCACCCCAGGGGGTGGTGCTTTCGTGTGAACTCCACGGGAGTCCATCCTCTGGGCACAGGTGGACATGGTGTCCAGAGCAGGAGAGATGAATCTGTTGCTAGAAGTTCTGTCTGCCAAAGAGTTAAGTGCTTTGTCATCAGCAGGAGGGAAACGGAACTAAATATTTGAGCACCTGGTAAAGCATGAGGCACTTTATGTACTCACGTCATTTCAGCCACCCAGAGCCCCTGGGAGGGCTATGGTGGTATTTCCTTAAAGATTAGCAGTGGTGACAAAGAAGCCCAGACAAGTGACTTCCTCTACTTATAATACTGTGTCTCTGGGAAAAACTGTTGTAGCTTCTACACCATTGACTTCCAAGATGGTTCATAACACACAGAACTCCTTAAAGCACATCTTGGGAGGAAGTAGACTTTATCGTCTAGGAGGAGGGTTTGCAGAGCTTCCATCCGGCTCTGCAGGACCTGCAGAGGTGGTGTCTGGCAGCAGCCTGGGCCTGGTTAGGAAGGGGAGTGGGCTGGGAGCAGGGGTGTGTGGGGTTGGGGAGGGGCCCTGGGGGAGGGACCCGCAGGGCTGAGTGGGAGCACCCCCCCCACCCTAGGTACTGTCTCCTGCTGGTGCCTTCCCCTGAACCCCCAAACTGGCTTCTCTGTCCCGGCCTGGTCCCGGGGTCAGCCTGGGTTCGCCCTCACCAGCCGTGTGTGGTGTCCCCATAGACCAGGATCGTGGAGCTGGAGGGCAGGGTCCGCAGGGCGGCCGCCGAGAGGGGCGCCGTGGAGCTGAAGAAGAACGAGTTCCAGGGGGAGCTGGAAAAGCAGCGGGAGCAGCTCGACCGCATCCAGTCCAGCCACGACTCGCAGCTGGAGAGTGTCAACAAGATCTACCAGGACGAGAAGGCAAGACCTGTGCCCTAACCCCTTAGCTCTGCTCCGGTGCCAGTCGAGACTCCATTGCACTCCCCTCACTGGGAAGATGCAGGGCCGTGAGGGGGTTCATGCGATAATGTGGGACCGGCCTCTTCATCAGGCTGTTGCGTGTTAGCTCTCCCCTGGGTTGGACGTTGGGTCCCCACATTATTTATTTTATGCTTGGCAGTTTGAACCTCTTAATCCCCCCCACCTCGTATTTTACCCATCCCCCCCACCTCCAGACGGCTCTCCATCCATGACCCATTTTGTTTCTTGTTTTTAGATTCCACATGTAAGTGAAATCACATGGCATATTTGCCTCACAGATTTATTTCACTTACCGAAATGCTGTCTAGGTCCATCTGTGTTGTCACAAATGGCAAGATTTCATTCTTTTTCATGACCGAGTAATATTCCTGTGTGTGTGTCTGTGTGTGTACACATGCGCATGTACCACATCTTTATCCATCTGTTGATGGGCGCTTGGGCTGCTTCCATGTCTTGGCTGTGGTGAGTAATGCTGCAGTGAACATGGGGTACATATCTCTATTTGAATTAGTGTTTTTTTCAGATAAATACCCAGCAGTAGAATTGCTGGATCATACGGTAGGTCTACTTTTAATTTTTGGAGGAACCTTTTCCTGCTTTCCACAATGGCTGCACCAATATACCTTCCTACCTATGGTGAAGGAGGGTTCCCTTTTGTCCACATCCTCAGCAACACTTGTTATTTCTTGTCTCTTTGATTTTAGCCCTTTTGACAGGTGTAAGGTGATAGCTCTTGTGATTTTGATTTAGAGAATACTCATTTGCTGAGTACTTTATCATATTCACAAATGTGTATTTCTTCTCTGGAAATTGTTCCAGTTTTAATGCTGTAGTAAAGTGTTTCCTAATTTTTCTTCACTTTGTGGGTGACACTATTTATGCTCCATAAATCCCCCATAACGGATTTTAGAATAGGACCTAGACATTGCTCATAGCATGTACACAGACATAACTCCTTAAAGCACATCTCTGGGAAAAAGTAGAGTTTATTCTTCAGGAATAGAGTTGGTAGAAATTCCATCTGGGCTTTGGACGTGCAGAGAATGTGTCTGGCACCCGGCCCCTGCCCAGTTAGGAAGGGAGAGTGGGATGGGAACTGGGGAGTGTGGGGTGGGGAGGGGGCCCTGGGAGCAAGGGACCCGCAGGGCTGCCCACAGGGCCTGGGCAGAGATGGGCTCCCGCGCTGGGCAGTGTAGGGTGACAAGCCCATCCAGCCTGGTGGAGTGCTTCCTCTGTTCCTAGCTGTGGTCTGGAACAGGATTTTTACTCGGAGCCTCTGGCTTTTCTGTGTTTTTACTTTAAAATTTTTTTCTTTTTGAAATAGTAGTGATAGAAGATAACTTGAGTGTGTGGCCCTGAGTCATGTTTGCTTGTTGTGCTTAAGTGTTTTTGTTCTCTTAACTCCATCAGTCTACCAGATGCTTCTGAAATTCCACTGCCCTACGAAACCCAAAATTCTAGGAGTGATAATCTCTCTGTTCTCCCCTAAGCTTCTGGATCGTTCTATGTGTTGCATGAAAGTGTGGGTGTACCTTTTGGGTGGGGAGAAGGAAAACAGGTTGCTGGTTAATTTCAGCTCATGGGCGTTCTGCTTTGGTGTAAGTTTGCGCTAGTTTGGCTCCAGACCCCATAAAATGGGCCGCAAACAACTGGGTTTCCTGTACAGGTGGGCAAACTCCTCAGAGAATATGCTGTGCACAGAACCGTTTGTTCTAGAGAATTCCTGGTAATGCGGTCCATGAAGCATCCTCCCACAGGCGAGTCCTTGAGATAGAGATGCTGGTTCACTGGAGCATAATCTGATGTGGAGATAAGAGCTCAAGCTTGGCATTCTTTGAAATATGGTTGACTGGCTGTTTCCTGAAAACCTCTCCCTATATAGGAAGAAACCGTTCTTAATGCTTGTTTTATGGTTTCTTTTCAAACGGGGGCACGATGCAAGGTCTCAGCTCTCCTGCCCCACCCATTCAGGAACTATTTGGAAATCCAGGGGGAGGAAGTCTCTTAGAGTTGCAATAAACAGATACTGAAAATCCAGGAGTCCAGGTAAAGAGGATAAAATATGCATTTGAAAGAGAGACAGCCAGTCACTGGGGAAGAATGAGAGTCCCTTTTCATTTGGACTTTTTAACCCTTAGAATATATGATAGAAAGTTCTTCTAATTTTGGGGTGGGACTGGGAGCGGGGGGCTAGTTTCTTAGCTTCAGGAAGATTTCTGCTATAGCTTGGTGTAGTGGTAAAAGGCACGGGGTGTCCAGTCAGGCAGAGCTAGGTTCAGATCTTGTTTTCCTTAGCTCCATGATTTTAGGCAAGTCACTTAAATTTCTTGGTCTGTTTTCTCAGCTCTTGAGTGAGAATAACAGTAGACTCCCCCTTACAGTGTGAGGATTCAGTGAGCTCATATTTATAGAGGGCTTCACACAATGCTTGGCATGGACTAGACACTCAAAAAACTGGTAGCTAGTGTCATTATAACTAGTCCTAGTAATTGTGGTACCAGTAAATGGCATAGAAATAGAGGGAGTAAACCACAGCATCTGTAGTGGTAATACTCTTCTTTTTGGTATGGGTTTTTTTTTTTTTTATTCCAAATCGAAACCATGGAACAAAATTGCCCTACCTTTAGGAAAGAATTAAGAAGATGCTGGGGAGTCCATTAGAACCAAGAGTAAACATTGTGGCTGAGCCACAGCAAGTAACCGTGACAGCCACCACAGCCGCGAGGAGAGCTCACGTCACTGCGTCTCTCTTCAGCCAGACGCCAAGCTAAATGTCCACAGGGATCATTTCCTGTATTTGTCTCAACAAACCCGTGAGACTGGTGCGTAGGCTGAGTGTGGAGCCATTCCCCAGGATGAGGCCCAGATCCCTGCAGCCAGCAGGAGCGCCGCCCTCCTCTCTGTGCAGACGCAGGCCACGGTGAGGGGGTGTGCTCCAGAACCCTCCCTCCCTGTGTAACACAGGGGCTGTGGCAGGGGCCCCAGGTAACCAGGCCGGCCCAAGTCCCTAGTTGCTGAAGCCAGGTGATGAGATGCTGTGCTTATCTGCATGCTTCAGAAGACCAAGGGATTCCAGCTAGCTCTCTTTGAGCCCCAATTCCAAATTCCCAGGCAAAAAACCCAACCCGAATCTTTCAGTGTGGCTAGGCGGTTCTCAGAGAGAGAGGGTTGGCTGTTACATCAGGACGTTCATTCTCTCTCAGGTTAGCACTAGTAGTTTGAATTGGAATCAGGCTCTTTTTCAGAATGTTAAAGAATCGTCTGGTGGTCTCATGGAGCTTCTCGGCCATGGGATGACTGGGGGTGTCAGCATCTGGGGGGTGCGGTTTGCAAGTGTCACATGACTTAGAGATTTCTGACCTCCTGGAGTCCTGCCCCCCCCCCCCCCTGGATGGCGACTGTTCTCTGCACGGTATTGTGGCCATCAGGTGGCACCTGGATAGGAGCTTGAAGGCCAGACCCCTCAGGAAAAATGTGGTCATGAAATCAGTGCTTCGGGTCAGCTCCGTGTGATAGAATTCCCGAGGAGGGAAACAGCCATTCTTGGTGTTCTGCTGAACCACGTCCCCTGGCTCTGTATGGCTGTCGGACACCTGAAATGTGGCTGCTGGGCCTGAGGAACTGAATTGTGAACTTTATTTAGTTTTGACTACATTTGGGTAGCCACGTTGGGCAGCACGGGTTTGAATGCTAAGGCAGAGAACTTTGGGGACAGGCTGGGTGTGACTGCTGATAGACTGTCCTGCTTGCCAGAGAGCACAGGGCCGAGCCAGGGCCTCCTTTGGGCTCTGGTATCTTTTCCCTTTTGTTGTTTGGTCCAGAATCGGGCTGTGAACGGTGCGTCGGGCACCTTGTAATGGGGGGCTGTGCTCCCTGGGAAAGCCTCTGTTGCTCGGTTGTGTTCAGTGATGTGGGCTTATCAGTCCAGCTTATTAAGTTGGCGTTTATGAACTTAGTTTGTTAGGAAAGTTGTTTGAGAAAACTCAGGCCCTGCCAGGCAGCATGTCACAATCGCCTGGGCACTTACGCAAATACAGGTATTATTTTTTACTTGTAAAGATTTTATTTATTCATGAGAGACACAGAGAGAGAGACACACACAGGCAGAGGGAGAAGGAGGCTCCATGCCAGGAGCCTGACGCGGGACTCGATCCTGGAACTCTGGGATCACGCCCTGAGCCAAAGGCAGGCGCTGAACCGCTGAGCCACCCAGGGATCCCACTGGGGATTTTAAATCTACACTGGATCAGACTTTCTGGGTGTTGGGCCTTGGAGAATATTGAATTTTTCTTAAAAGATGATACACATAACATGTGCAGGTGCACAAATTTTCCTACATGCCTACATTCCTGAAACATCCTTTCAACACAGGTAGCTCATCCAGACACTGATGAGGAAATGTTGGATGTTTTGCAGTATTACACTTTTGTTTTTTTATTTTTATATTTTTAAAGCTTTTATTTATTTATGAGAGAGACAGAAGCAGAGACACAGTCAGAGGGAGAAGCAGGCAAAGAGCCTGATGTGGGACTCGATCCCTGGACTCTGGGATCACGACCTGAGCTAAAGACCGATGCTCAACCCCTGAGCCACCCAGGCACCCCAGTATTGTACTTTTAAAAATAAAATAGTCTTACCCGGATTTTCATTTTATTGACCCTTTCTCAATGAAATGATTTTAAAGTGGAGGGCATTATGATTGAGAGAGAATTCTCTGAAGGTAAGCTGGCAGTGCTCTTACAAAGTAATTGACATTGATACTGTTTTTTCTAAGCTATTTCTTACATCTTTACCCACGTTTACTGGAATCCCTGAAAATTTTTAGAAGATGTGCCAAGTTGCAAACCTCCTGCTCACCACTTTTTTCCCCCAACATTGCCAACTCCTGCCGACTTGGAATATGGGTGTGTCTGCAGGTCCTCAGCACTGAGACTGGCTTT